TAACATAACATAACATAACATAACATAACATAACATAACATAACACAACACAACACAACACAACACAACACAACATAACATAACATAACCCCAACCCAACCTAACCTAATCCCAATCCCAACCTAACCCCCCAGGTAAGGTTAGGTGTTTAATCAACCGGAATAAGTAGAAGGATGTGTATTTAGAGGTGACAGAGAGAGGACGTAGAAACATCAGGGCCAAGAGAGAGAGAGAGAGAGAGAGAGAGAGAGAGAGAGAGAGAGAGAGAGAGAGAGAGAGAGAGAGAGAGAAAGAGAGAGAGAGAGAGACCCCCACATCATATCACTGTAAATGTAATAAAAAACACGAGTAATAATTTAACTAACTCATCATCCCCGTAAGAGCACTAAATACAATTAATGTTTAATCTTCGTAATTGCTTGTTATGAAATTAAGTTAAAATACAAATCACGTTATCCTTGACTCAGATAAGGATAATAAATGGACTTGAATTAATAAATAAACAAGTGAATGTTTTTGGTTTGTGTTTAATATTGTAGTGTCATGTGGAAGGAAGGGTTTATAACTGATTTCCTTCCTTCCATCCTTCCCTCCTTCATTACCTCCCTCTTTCCTTCTCTCTCTCTCTCTTTCTCTTTCCTCGCTCTCTCTTTCCTTCAACTCCCTCCTTCATCTTTTTTCTCTCTCTCTTTCCTCCCTTCCTCCTTCCCTCTCTTCTTCACTCTCTCCATTTCTCCTTCTCTCCTCCCAAAGTGTAAAAAATAGTATATACCTCATTTTACGCTTCATCGGACTTTTACCCTTAGTCAGCGCTCAGAGTTAAGGAGATTCTAAGATGTTATTCCCACTTGAGGGCCTTCTGTCTGTCTGTCTGTCTGTCTGTCTGTCTACGATTATCTGTCTCCATCCCCCAAATCCCGAACATGCTTTGATCTCCAATCTAATCTGTCCCCTAATTCGGTCTCCCAATGTAACCTCTCCCCTAATCCGGAATATACTCTGGTCTCCAATTTAATCTCCCAGCCTAACTTGACCTTAATTTACTATATTCTGACTTAATCTGATCCTAACTTAGCTAAATCTACCCTATCTTAACTCAATCTGATAAAAGTTACCTTAGTCCTAAACTAATTTATTGTAATTTAACTCAGTTTATACTTATCTAATTCCACCGTAACCTAACCTACACTAACCTAACCTAACCTAAACTAACCTAACATAACCCACGCGTTTGAATAAGACATCACCGAGTACAGTTTCCGGTTTTGTGTCTAAGAAAAAGAATAAATGAACGGATTACATTATTACAACACCAGTTTTCCCCAGGAGACGTCAGCACACTCTTGTCGAAATAAGTGAGAGCAAAAGGAAAACTTGAATCTTTGAAGACAAACACGTTATTTAATTATTTTTGGGGGGTCTTTCTCTTTAAGGCCAAGGGTCTCACTCACTCACTCACTCAAGAGGAGCTGAAACTGTGGTAGGTGAAAGGAAGTTCATTAGCTTCGTGTTTGAGAGGCTAAATAAAGTAGGTGGCCAAACACGTACGTACAAGACATCAAGAACACACACACCCCACCCCACCCGCTCCCCACCCCACCCCACCGCTCCCCACCCCACACCACCCCCTCCACTCCCCACACCACCCCTCCGCTCCCCACACCACCCCCTCCGCTCCACCCCCGCCTCTCCCCTCACACCACACAACAAAAACCCATCACTTCTACGGAGTGTCTCAGGAAACACTCAGCCTAACACCCGTACACACCCTCTCGTGCTGGGTGAGGCTGGCCACCCCTAGGTCAGGTTGCCAGCGGAACTTAGCCACACATCACTTACCTGGTTGAGGTAATTATGACTAAGACGAGTTGTTATTAATTGATATTTTTAGTAGTAGTAGTAGTAGTAGTAATCATTGAAGCTTAAATGCACAAAGGTAAGAAATATCACAGACTCATATCAATCAACCAATATAAGACTACTGAATTTAACACACAAATCACAATCACCAACGACATTGATATTTACGAGTGATTGCAACATATGAAGCCTCCACCTTCTCTTGTTACGTACAGACTTGGTACGTGACTATTGTCCTTCCCACGGATGTTTTCTGACTCATGTTAGTATCATCTGATTTCAAAGGCATTATGACATGAATATTTACATAAGGGTGTGTATTTTTTTATTTTTTTTTTATATAATAAATTGACTATAAAAGATTTATTTGAGGTGAGAACTGTTTGTGATATCTGATTATTGTGATTTAAAACTCATCTGTCATCATATATTTTGATTATTATTTCCTTCCTATTATCAAGGTCTACTTTTAACCATTTTCTCATCAGTATCTCCCATCGGTGTTTTGTATCTCTCTCTTTCTCTCTAGGTGAAGGGACAGGAGACCATTCCCTAGTTCTATTCGCATATCATCATCTTATCTCTCTTCTCTCTCTCTCTCTAATCACGCGTTGGTCACCTCCACCATGTCCGGAGAACCCACGGAAGTTGTTTAGTTTCTCATCCTCAAGAGATAGTGATCTCTCTCTCTCCCTTCTCACTATCTTTATGTTTTATTGTTCGTGTTAACTCCTCATTAGCATCAAGGTGAAAAAGTAGAAAATTTTTTATATGAATAACGTCAAGAAACACACACACACACACACACACACACACACACACACACACACACACACACACACACACACACACACACACACACACGAGTACTTGATCCCAGCAGTAACGTCACCACACACACAGATATACAGTATACATTAACGGATGTTCTATCATGGATCGAGCGTAAGTTATCATTCCAAAGTTGCACCGACACACCAATACCACCACTCATGTCTATAAATCCTCCACTGTATCTACAAACTCCAATTTTCCGAATCCCCGAACCCCCGAATCAAGTATTAAAAACCTTGAACTTTAAACTCCGAACCTCGAACCCTTAAATCCGTATCGTGAACCCCAAAACTCCACATAAACAGAACCCCTAACACCGAATCCCCAACTCCAAACCCTGATTCCGAGCTCCGAATCCCGAACCCGTAATGGAGTTAATGTGAGCCATGTTATGAAATCTGATGTTGTTTATGTTAGTCGTCGTGTTTGTTGTGTGTGAGAGAGAGAGAGAGAGAGAGAGAGAGAGAGAGAGAGAGAGAGAGAGGAAATGAAAACGGCAAGAAAGAAAACAATAAAGATAATGAGAAAAAAGGAGACAAAAATAAAGACAAAGGAAAAAAAATGAAATAATGAAGAAAATAAAGGTAGAAAATGAGAGATAGAAATTTAAATGCTAGAAAAAAAAAACCCACACCAATACTGTTGCAAATGAAGAGAGGAGAGAAAACTAAATTGTAGCACATTAATATAGATAAACGCGACATCCTGTGATAAATGAACACAGCATACAGCATCCGTAACAATGAGATAGTTTTATTTTCTCTGTTAAATATTATCAGAGAAAACAAAAAAAAGATAACCTTCGACCCCTCCCACCCCCCCTCACCCCACCTCCACCCCCACACACCTCCCCCTCCTCCACCCCCCACACACCCTCCCTCCTCCACCCCACACACCCTCCTCCTCCACCCCACACACCCTCCCTCCTCCACCCCCCACACCTCCCACACACCCTCCTCCTCCAATTTCCACACACCGTCACACACCGTCCCCCAAAAAATTAAATATTAAAGCAATCTCACATTTCATTTCTTTTAAACTTTTTCTTTAATTTACATCAAAGTGATTAACTCTTAGGGAAAATATAAACAACAATTATATTTGTCAAAGTTAAGTTAATCTGGAGAGGAAGGCCCGGCTTAGGTGTCTTATCGGGGGGAGTGACAGAGGAGGGGGGGGGAGGGAGAGGGAAGAAGGTATTATTTTAGGCTTCAACTTCAATTTATGTTTTTATATAGTAAAAATCTACTGTGGATATCTGTTTTCTCATGGTTAGCTTAGGTTAGGTTAGGTTAAGTTAGGTTATATCAGGCATTGGTTAAGTTAGGTTATATCAGGTATTGGTTAGGTTAGGTTAAGTTAAATTACAAGCTCCGTCTAGTTAAAGTGTCTACGGTTTGTTAGAGAAAATATTCACTGCATTTCAGACTTCATCACCAACATCACACTGATAACAATTCACACCTAACCTAACCTAACCTAATATACTTAACAAACATTTAAAACACCCACTTATGCTTTATACTACACAAACAAACACAAACTTATAAATTACGTCACTTTACACACTATTACAATGACACATTACACTTATATTTTACACTGTAGCACAAACGCACACTTAACACTTAACACTTTACACTTTATCTTCGTACAAAAATGTAAATGTCACTTCAAGATTAAACACTCTAACGCTACTTGGCGGGCGTTAGGTTAGGTAAGTGTTAGTGTTAAGTTAGGTCTGTGTTAGGTTAGGTTAGGTTAAGTTAGGTTAGTGTTAGCGTCAGGTTAGGTTAGGTTAATGTTAGGTAAGTGTTAGTGTTAGCGTCAGGTTAGGTTAGGTTTATGTTAGGTTAGTGTTAGTGTTAGCGTCAGGTTAGGTTAGGTTAATGTTAGGTTAGTGTTAGTGTTAGCGTCAGGTTAGGTTAGGTTAATGTTAGGTTAGTGTTAGCGTCAGGTTAGGTTAGGTTAGGGCTAATGTTGTGTTAGGTTAGTGTTAGCGTCAGGTTAGGTTAGGTTAATGTTAGGTTAGTGTTAGTGTTAGCGTTGTTAGGTTAGGTTAATGTTAGGTTAGTGTTAGCGTCAGGTTAGGTTAGGTTAATGTTAGGTTAGTGTTAGTGTTAGCATCAGGTTAGGTTAGGTTAATGTTAGGTTAGTGTTAGTGTTAGCGTCAGGTTAGGTTAGGTTAATGTTAGGTTAGTGTTAGTGTTAGCATCAGGTTAGGTTAGGTTAATGTTAGGTAAGTTAATATTCATATAATACCCAAATTATATACTAATAAATGTATACCATTCTATTTCTTCTACCTGATCGTATAGCGGCCCGTGTAGCGGCGTTGACCCGGAGTAAAACCGTGTGATACCAACGGTGATTTCTCGGTCTGTGTGTGTGTGTGTATCCTGTACAGACAACATGTGGACAATTATCGTATCCGGCAACTCATCTCTCTCTTGAGTAGCCATTATTGACATTTTGATTCTATTTTACTGTGGGGGTTTTTTCGATTTTATTTTTGGAAGAATGAGTGAATTTTTTTTATTTTTTTTTAGGTAAATTGTATGATTGTATTTTTTTTGTTTTTTGTCGGAGATTGTTAGAAAGATGTATGGTGTGTGTGTGTGTGTGTGTGTGTGTGTGTGTGTGTGTGTGTGTGTGTGTGTGTGTGTGTGTGTGTGTGTGTGTGTGTGTTTTCAGAAGGCTTAAACATGGCATAAGACTAATCTCAAAGACTCACTATAAACTTATCCATTAACACACACACACATACACACACACACACACACACACACATTATAAAACTCTTACTTGACTCCTTAACCTATTACAAGAACTGTAACCTATTTAAAAAGTTTCTAAAAAATAATTATGGTCAGCCTCAGCCTATTAAATTGTGAGTTAATTAGTATCGTGAGTATTTAGGCTAATGAGCTAGTGAATTAGCCCCAAACCTATAAGCTCTAGTCTTCATAAACCACAACCTAACCTAACCACAACCTAACCTAACCACAACCTAACCTAACCACAACCTAACCTAACCACAACCTAACCTAACCACAACCTAACCTAACCACAACCTAACCTAACCTAACCTAACCTAAACTGAGAAATCTAATTGAAGAGTAGTTCCTAATGGGCCTGAATTGTAATGGATCCCAAGTGTTAATGGGTTCAAATCCTATTGGCCAGGTGATACGAGCAGTGTACCTGGCGAGGATTTAAATCACGTATCAGTATCTCTCTAACCCAGGAGTTAATTAAATGACTAATCCTTCATTACTTATAGCAAAAGAGCCACGGGATAAAGGGATTATGGCTCTATATATATTTTCCAATCACCCTCGAATGTTTTGGTTTTAAACTCGCGGCTGAGAACAACTTAACTTAAACTTAATACTTAGAATTAAAGGAAAAACCACTTAGGTAAGATTGAGATTAATGGGGGTTGATCAGTCTGGAAATAATAGCGATTAAAAACCTCATATTTTAGCTATTCAAAATATCGACCTACACAGAGAAGGTTGTTCTTAAAATGTAAACATCGACTATACAGGTTAATTCTAATTAGTGAGAATATTAAATTAATGGAAATCATAATATTAAAATGAAATGGTTACCTCAGCAGCAGGGGTAACTAACACAGAGCAGGTAACACAGCAGGCAGCAGAGGTAACTAACACAGCAGGTAACACAGCAGTAGGCAGCAGGGGTAACTAGCACAAAACAGGTAATACAGCAGCAAGGGTAAAGCCAACCAACCACCAGACGCCTCCCATCATCACTCTCCATCATTGACCGTCCACAAATTAATTATCAAATTATCTCGGCTCGCCAAAAGCAGTTCCTTCGCGCAAAGTTTTAATGACATTGGTCCATGGATTCTTTGATCACCTAGGAGGGAGTCGCGTCCTTTACTCACACACTTCTAACAGCTAAATACATACATATAAGGATTTCACTAACCAAACCTAACCTAACCTATCCTAACCTACACTTCCCTATCCTAACCTAACCTAACCAAACCTAACCTAACCTCATCCTTACCATACCCGTGAGTAAAACTTGTTCTAATACACAATGACAAAAAATCCCCCTCCCCCCCAAAAAGTACTTCAATGTTGTATAATGAAAACACCTAGCTCAGGGAGACAATGAGAGATGAAACATGAATCTCTATTAGACGGAGATGAGAAGGCGTTGTCTAGCTCATTGTAGAGATAAAGAGACGATGCTTCTGTGTTACCAAATAGAGGAGAAAAAAGTTGACGAGATATACTTGATTTGTCTCTCTCATATGAAACACCTCCCAACCTTACTGTATTCTAAATTAAACCTTCCTGTCTCACCTGTGTGTGTGTGGAGTAGGTGTGTGTGTGTCCTAATCTTATATTCCTATCATATACAATTAACAAACATGTACCTTTATCTAGGACGGGGGAAAAATAAATATTGCATCTAAATTTTTTAGGGGTGGAAAAACTAACAGGGGGATATCCTTTTTGAGGGGGGGGGGGGAGGACAGTAGGATGGAAGGATGAGGAGGGAGGTTGAGTTAAATCTTTCTACTGAGTCACGGAAAAAGGACGGACGGACGGACGGGTGGACAGACGGACAGACGGACAGACGGATGGTAGAAATCAGGTTAATAATTATGAGGTGATCCACGTCTCCTTCCCCTTCGATAAATTCCGTGAGATTATAAAATACTTCTGTTGAATACTCTGAAGTTATAATATTCAAATGAAGGGAAACCCCCCACAAATATACTCAGTGAACAATACAACATCGAATAACGAAAACATCAACTAACTAACGTGTTCATTAATGCAGGTACAAAATATACTCACGCCATATTGTATTGACTCCATTCATTACTATGCATTACGTAGAGACCCCCAAAAAAATTATCCCCCAAAATGAATAAAACTCTAAAAAAAAAATTATTAGAATACATAATGTAGAGTATTATTGAACTAGATAATTTTCTTCGACACTTTAACAATTTGGGTCTTTAACCAGGTATTCTAGGTTAGTAAATAAATAAGTAATTAATAATAATAACTCCCAATAATATCTCATAATATTAAACGACTAAGAAGAACGAGGTCACGTATATACTTTAATAAGGTTGTTAAATTCTTCTTCAGTGACCTTTGACCTCGGTCCTGGTCTCGGTTCCGTCTTGGTCTCGTGGTCTAGGTATCACTCAGTCATAAACACAACACACTCGGTAGTCAGACACACAGATCACTGACCTCTTCCTCCTTCGCCTCCTCCTCCCTACTACCCATGTAACCTCGTTGGCACAAACAGAAAAAAAAACCCTGAAATATTTCCCCCCAAATAACAACATAAAAACCTGAGGAAAAAAAATTGTATAGAGTGACAAACAGCAAAAAAAAAAAAAAAAAAAAAAAATGTCCATGAGGAAAAACGACAAAAACAAAAAAAAAAAAAAAAAAAAAGACGAGCGTCCATATCAGAAAAAAAAAGATAAAAAAGGAAAAAAAACATTAAAAAAAAGCTATAGGAGTAATGGGTAGGTGACGGGAGGAGGTAAGTGACCGGTTTGACCTACTCGACCTATTCTCACTCACACCATTTAAGCGCCACTAATCAACTCCTTCACTCGCCTCCTATTCTTGGGAGGGGAGGAGGGAGGGAGGTAGCTCGCCTCCTGGGAACCTCGTTTGATCTTTACCAGCATAAGTGGGAGTGACGTCAAGGGGACCCAGCATAAGTGTGTGGGGGTGAGGGTGTGTGGGTGAGGGGTGTGTGTGTGTGTGTGTGTGTGTGTGTGTGTGTGTGTGTGTGTGTGTGTGTGTAAGACAGAGAGGACGCTTCAATAAACACTTCTGGACGGGGATGTCTGTCTGTCTGTCTGTCTGTTTGTCAGATAGACGGACACCTGCTTGCTGTATGCCTGTCAGGCTGTTGTTGTGGCAGGTATTGGAAGGAATGGAATCGGTGGGTGAGCGCTGTGTCGGGTCATGCGTCACACCTGTTCTGGCCAGGTTGACACTATAGGTGGTGGTGGCTCTGTTTGCAGGTGTAAATGTGACCGACACGTATAGTTCATTAACACCTGTAATTAACGACACCTGTAGCTCATTAGCGTCTGTAATTGGCGACACATGTAACTAATTATCACCTGTAATTGCCGACACACATAACTAATTAACACCTGTAATTAACGACACCTGTAACTCATTAACACCTGTATTAACGACACCTGTAACTCATTAACACCTGTAATTGACGACACCTGTAAGTCCTAGACACCTGTGTTTTATTGACACCTGTGATAGAACGGCAACTGATTGGAAACTTCCTAATTTCTCAACCCGGATTCTGGAACCTAACCTAACCTAGCCTCGGTTTTTATTCATCACATCTGCCACTTTTTTCATTCTTTCTTTCAATTTTTCACTTATATTCCTCTCTCTCTCTCTCTCTCTCTCTCTCTCTCTCTCTCTCTCTCTCTCTCTCTCTCTCTCTAGACTTACCTGCCTACCGACCTACTTACCTGCTTGCCTATCTGTCTGTCTGTCTGTGTGTCTGTCTATCTGTCTGTCTAATGCTCAGTAATTCATGGGGCATAACAGCTCTTGATGATTAATTTCTCCACTCGTTTTACTGAACAGGTATTTAATTAGAATATTTAAATGGGAGGCTGCAGGTAAGAAAGAGAGAGAGAGAGAGAGAGAGAGAGAGAGAGAGAGAGAGAGAGAGAGAGAGAGAGAGAGACGTGGCATGGGAGAGAGAGAGAGAGATAGAGAAGATAAAGGAAAGGAGAGAGAGATTTTTACAATCGGTCAGACGAGTAAATGCGATCAATATATCCCTGTAGGTTAGGTTAGGTTACATTACGTTAGGTTAGGTTACATTACGTTAGGTTAGGTTACATTACGTTAGGTTAGGTTAGGTCTCTGAATCATCCTTCGTCGTCAATTAGCTGTTGTTAATGTTGTAATAAATATGTTCTGCCAGCGTGTTCCTTTTCCACATCAAGGCCGTATATATCCATCTATCTTACCCTTAGTCCTTGCCTAAACGTATTACCTCAGCGTCCTCTTGTACTTGAAGGAGATTAATTAATATATAAAAAAATAATCATGTGACGTTTAGACACCCCTTAATTTATTTCACCTGATGATTAAACACCGTAACGCTACCTGGGATGGGGGTGTTAGGTTAGGTTAGTTTAGGTTAGGTTAGGTTAGGTTAGATAAATATTCAGAGTAAATAACAACTGTAAATAAACATTATATCCAAGCCACAGTGACTGAATGTAATCAAAATTAAATATATCCAATAAACATGACCTCTTTAAAGTATGTCAACATATTTCCCTACGCTGATATAACTCTGTTTCTATTCT